GTCAGTGTACAGCTTGTATAACAGTGTAATTTTTTTTCCCCCTCAGAATAACTCAACACACTGCCATTAATGTCTAAACCACTGGCAACAAAAATGAGTCCACCCCTAAGTGAAAATGTCCAAATTGGGCCCAATTAACCATTTTCCCTCCCCGGTGTCATGTGACTCGTTAGTGTTACAAGGTCTCAGGTGTGAATGGGGAGCCGGTGTGTTAAATTGGTGTTATCGCTCTCACTCTCTCATACTGGTAACTGGAAGTTCAACATGGCACCTCATGGCAGAGAACTCTCTGAGGATCTGAAAAAAAGAATTTTTGCTCTACATAAAGATGGCCTAGGCCAGTGGTCGGCAAGCCGCGGCTCGCGAGCCACATGCGGCACTTTACACATTTTAATGCGGCTCTTCTGTGTGCCGGGCGCCCGCTCCCCTCCCTCCTCTCGGGCGGCCGAGGACTCTGCAGCTAGCCCAGCAATGATTGGCCAGTCTCGCTGCCACTCACATCCTGATAGCTAATGATTGGCTGTCAGGATGTGTGTAGGCGGGGCAGCGTGACGAACGTGAGGGGAGCTAGGCTCCTCTCACAGTCCGCCCTGAAGACCGGAACAGCGCGGGGAACACGGCGAGAGGAACGCGCGGAGCAAAGGTAAGTGAATTGACACAGGGGGGACTTGGCTTACTACTTGCTACTTACTTACTACTACTATATGAGGGATGAATTAATATGGGGGATGAATTACTATATGGGGGATGAATTACTATGGGGTATGAATTACTATATGGGGGATGAATTACTATATGGGGGATGAATTACTATATGGGGGGATGAATTACTATATGGGGGATGAATTACTATAGGGGGGATGAATTACTATGGGGGAGGAATTACTATATGGGGGAGGAATTACTATAGGGGGGGATGAATTACTATGGGGGATGAATTACTATAAAAACTTATTGAAACTAAAAACAGTGTACCATCCTATGTATTTTCAGTTTTAAAAATGTGGCTCTCAAAATAAATTTCAATCGTGGTTTTGGCGAGATTTGGCTCAGTTGAAAAAAAAAGGTTGCCCACCACTGGCCTAGTCTATAAGAAGATTGCCAAGACCCTGAAACTGAGCTGCAGCACGGTGGCCAAGACCATACAGCAGTTTAACAGGACAGGTTCCACTCAGAACAGGCCTCGCCATGGTCGTCCAAAGAAGTTGAGTGCACGTGCCCAGCGTCATATCCAGAGGTTGTCTTTGGGAAATAGACGTATGAGTGCTGCCAGTATTGCTGCAGAGGGTGAAGCGGTGGGGGTCAGCCTGTCAGTGCTCAGACCATATGCCGCACACTGCCTCAAATTGGTCTGCATGGCTGTCGTCCCAGAAGGAAGCCTCTTCTAAAGATGATACACAAGAAAGCCCGCAAACAGTTTGCTGACGACAAGCAGACTAAGGACATGAATTGCTGGAACCATGTCCTGTGGTCTGATGACACCAAGATATACTGATTTGGTTCAGATGGTGTCAAGTGTGTGCGGTGGCAACCAGGTGAGGAGTACAAAGACAAGTGTGTCTTGCCTACAGTCAAGCATGGTGGTGGGAGTGTCATGGTCTGGGGCTGCATGAGTGCTGCCGGCACTGGGGGGCTACAGTTCATTGAGGGAACCATGAATGCCAACATGTACTGTGACATACTGAAGCAGAGCATGATCCCCTCCCCTCAGAGACTGGGCCGCATGACAGTATTCCAACATGATAACGACCCCAAACACACCTCCAAGACCACCACTGCCTTGCTAAAGAAGCTGAGGGTAAAGGTGATGGACTGGCCAAGCATGTCTCCAGACCTAAACTCTACTGAGCATCTGTGGGACATCCTCAAATGAAATGTAGAGGAGCACAAGATCTCTAACATCCACCAGCTCCGTGATGTTGTCATGGAGGAGTGGAAGAGGACTCCAGTGGCAACCTGTGAAGCTCTGGTGACCTCCATGCCCAAGAGGGTTAAGGCAGTGCTGGAAAATAATGGCGGACACACAAAATATTGACACTTTGGGCCCATTTTGGACATTTTCACTTAGGGGTGGACTCACTTTTGTTGCTGGCGGTTTAGACATTAATGGCGGTGTGTTGAGTTATTTTGCGGGGACAGCAAATTTACATGTTATACAAGCTGTACACTGACTACGTCACATTGTAGCAAAGTGTCATTTCTTCACATGAAAAGATAGAATCAAATATTTACAAAAATGTGAGAGGGGGGGGGGGGGGGGACTCACGTCTGTGAGATACTGGATATATAATAATCTGTTTGTCTTGGAGACATCAGGTTTCTTGGAGTTTGATGGGATACTTCTCAAACAAATGCCGCTGGATACTATGGTAACATAGATACCATTGTTGTATTTTAGTTAACAAAAAAGTGAGAAAAGTGCCAGCACAAAATATGTGTAATCTTCCTATCAAAAAACATTTTGTGCACAATGTATACTAAGGTACTTGCCCCTTCCAGTGTGACCCACCCTTCTACCTCAAATCAATATGCATAAAAAGTAAAGCTGCCCATACATGTATAGCTTTTCATTTGAAAATGTTAGTTTCGAGAATATTTGTTTGATTTTCTAATCGTTAGTGGGGTCAAATCGATGTTTGTTTTTGACAGCAGTGACAGGGCAATTAGAAGGGGCAGGAAGGAAAACCTTTTTCGATCAAACAAATGTTTGGCTAGTCTATATGATTAGCGTTCAGAAATTCTATTCATTTTAAAACCAAATGTTAAAAGCTAAAGACCATTTTTGAACAACATTCGTCAATTCATTGAATGTTCAAAGAATTTTCGTAGGAGTTTTCTTATGAATATGTATTGGCAGCTTAAGGTGCTGGCCCTTTAACCTCTTCACGCCGGCCGACCGCAAATGTGTGGCCTCCTGGCGTCTGGGCCTAGACGCCGAGCGGCCGCACATTTGCGTTCTATTAAAAAAGAACATATGTGCTGAGAGCGTGTACCCTGCGCGCTCCCAGCACACATGTTCGGTACTCACAGAAAGATCCCGATCTCCTCTTTTGATCGGGACCTTTCCCGATCATGTGACCGGCGTGTCATGGCGGTCACATGATCCTAAACCCCGCCTCCCAGCTTCTGAAACCCTTAAAGGGCTGAGAGGCGCCAGCACAAAGGGGTTAAATAAATACACCATCTATTAAATCAGGGGTGTGGAAATTTTTGAAAACACTACCTTTCCAAGGGACTAAATCAGGGTCCCAGTCTACTTGTCCCTCATGATAATCCATTTGTCCTGATAAAAAAAATTGTATTTTAACCAAATCCGCATTAAAATGTGACGTGCTATTAAGAATGTCTGAGGCCTAAAAATGAAAAGGGCTTTATGGTGACTTAAACTTTTAATATTTTTAACATTGCTCTGTTTATCTCCTACTTCCCTCCCTGCCTGTCTCCAGCACTGCACCCAGGGACTAGCAGGGAGAGGAGAGACCTTGCAGTGCGACGAGCACTGATTGGGTGCTCATCAAGGAAGGGGAGTGTCAGGCTCTCAACACTCAGCAGAAGCACATCTGCTGAGCAAGTAAGAGAGGCGCGCCGGCCCTGATGAGTTAAAAAAAAAAAAAAGTTCCTTCGGGTTACCCTAGCACTGGGCAGGTGCGTGCACAGCGGGGGGGGGGGATGGCACTTTAGCACAGTGTGTGGAAGCAATCGGGCGGTAGCACAGCCACCCGAATGCTTCCACCTGTCAAGTAAGCTCTGCTGCTTGCCCGCAGCAGGGCTACATGTTAAAAGGAAACTACCTTCCCGATACCCGAAAATGCATATCCTGGGCGTCTGGCAATGTAATTTGCACATCCCTGATTAAATAAACATCAATAATTTGTTATCCAGTGTATATTATATTAAAGTGTCCATCTAAAAAGTGCATAAGAACAGGGGCGGACTGACAACTCATGGGGCCCCTGGGCAATAGGGGATCATGGGGCCCCTGTGTCCTCGCCCACGCTCAAACCACATGCAAAAAAGCCTATGAAAGGTACCAGGAACATCTCATGGGGCCCCCAATGGTCAGTCCGCCCCTGCATAAGAATACGTCCCTTATCACCAAAGTGAATGCAAATCCAGCATAAGGGAATGGTTCTTTTCCACAAAGAAAGTACCCACAAAAAACGATAAAGTGCTCCACCACATGATCAGCTAAAATGCCAACTCATTGCAAAGACCTGGCCACTGAAATAGTAGCTTAACCAGCAATATGGTTTCATGCAGTTCTCTTTTCTTCATATGAAGTATCCATGCTCAGGGGCGGACTGACCATTTGGAAACTCGGGCACACCCGAGGGCCCGGGGTCAGTAGGGGACCCCATGAGATGCCCCTGGTTCCTTTTTTTCATAGGCTTTTTTTGAGTTTGAGTAAGGACAAGGGGCCCTATGATCCCCTATTGCCCAGGGGGCCCCATGAGTTGTCAGTCCGCCCCTGTCCATGCTCCATATGTAAATGCTGATAATCTCTCACTCACCCAGTTATCAATGGGGAAAAAGCCCAGGATAAAGTAATCTAGTGTATTCATTTTATTAAAGTGAATATAAAACCTCAAAATTCTATGAACTCCCATGATGAAGGTGCCAAGAAGGGCAACAACATAAACAGCTTACTCGGGGGATTCTCACACCACTGCTCACGACCACCGAGCTGGTGTGCGTTCCATAGACCATAAGTGATATATCCTGGGAAGCAGACGTGACGTTGGTGACTCAAGGAGTGCATTTTCGCATGTCATCAGAAAGCTATTTCAGTTGACAGTTGGATCAGTCTATTTTCTGCAATCATGGTCAAACACAGCTTGATATATGACCTATGGCATCTACTAAGTGACATATCGGCATGGATGTCACTCCACTTCCTCAAACTCAATCTTTCCAAAAGTGAGCTCTTAGTATTCCCCCCAGCCCGTGCCCCCTCCCCGACTTCTCCATCAAGATCAATAACACAATCATCAGTCCCTCCCCTCATGCCAGGGTACTAGGTGTAATCCTGGACTCCCATCTGTCCTTTCAGCCCCAAATCCAATCACTGTCCAAATCTTGTAGACTTCTCCTTCACAACATCTCCAAGATATGCCCGTTTCATAACCTCGGAAACCACTAAGCAACTTATTCACTCCCTTGTTATATCTCGCCTTGACTATTGTAACTCCCTCCTCATTGGCCGACCTCATCGCAGGCTATCCCCAATTCAGCCTATCATGAATGCTGCTGCCAGACTCATCCACCTTACTAACCGTTCTGTATCAGCCACCCCTCTCTGCCAATCTCTCCACTGGCCTCCACTCAGTGTCCTCCACCCCTCTCTGCCATACCCTCCAGTGGCCTCCACTCAGTGTCCTCCACCCCTCTATGCCAATCCCTCCACTCAGTGTCCTCCACCCCTCTCTGCCAATCCCTCCACTGGTCTCCACTCAGTGTCCTCCATCCCTCTCTGCCAAACCCTCCACTGGCCTCCACTCAGTGTCCTCCACCTCTCTCTGCCAATCCCTCCACTGGTCTCCACTCAGTGTCCTCCATCCCTCTCTGCCAATCCCTCCACTGGCCTCCACTCAGTGTCCTCCACCCCTCTCTGCCAATCCCTCCACTGGTCTCCACTCAGTGTCCTCCACCCCTCTCTGCCAATCCCTCCACTAATCTCCACTCAGTGTCCACCCCTCTCTGCCAATCCCTCCACTGGCCTCCACTCCGTGTCCTCCACCTCTCTCTGCCAATCCCTCCACTGGCTTCCCATTGCTCAATGGATAAAATTCAAAACACTAACAATAACATATAAAGCCATTTATAACTTCGCCCCAAGTGACATCACCAATCTTGTCTCTAAATATCACCCAAACCGTACTCTCTGCTCCTCACAAGGCCTCCTACTCTCTAGCCCCCTTGTCTCCTCCTCCCATGCTCATCTCCAGGAATTCTCCAGAGCTTCCCCCATCCTCTGGATCTCTCTACCCCAATTTATCAGACTATCGCCTACTCTGCACACTTTTAGGCGATCTCTGAAAACCTCTCTCTTCAGGGAAGCCTATCCTGCCCTCAGCTAATAATGGAATCTTCTACTCTTCCAACCAGTCCATCCCCCACAGTTACTACCTTTTGTACCACTAGCCCCTCCCTGTTAGATTGTAAGCTCCCAGGATCAGGGCCCTCCTATCCCTCTTGTATTGAACTGTATTGTTGCTGTATTGTCTCCCGTTATATTGTAAAGCGCTGAGCAAACTGTTGGTGCTATATAAATCCTGTATAATAATAATAATAATATATAAATCCTGCATATTAATAATAATTTATGATAAGCAGTGCCATCTAGGGGGTGTATTGGAGAGTGTTTCACCTATATATGACAGTGTAATAAGGTAGAGAAGGATATGCCCCTGTGGGATTGGCTACACAAAACTTTAAATGAAAAGTTGTCAGGTTGAGCTGACAAGAGGACAATAAGATGACTTAACACCAAGGAAGATCTCTGCCAGAACCTGAAGACACTTTTAGGCTCCATGTACACGGGACATTTGGAAAAAACTTCTGAACGATGGAAACTGACTGCTGGAAAAACGTAGGTTAAAAAACACCAGTTTAGCCGCGTTTATGAGTGTTTGCGTTTAGAAGTGTTCTCTTAAAGATAACCTCACCTTCCCAAATACCCAGAATGCACTAAAAAATTAACTATTTCAGACATTTTGAGAGAAATAGAGAGAGCAGAAGCAGAGAGAGCAGTATTTGTTCAGATTAGCTCTTTTTTTTTTTTTCTATTTGTGGTGTTTGGATGTGTTCCAGCTCATTTCTGTGCAGAAATTATTGTAGCAGTGTCTAACATATTTTTTTTTTCATGCAAAACCTCAAAGTATGGAGTACCAGGTCCATTTGAAAAGCGGGAAAACGCTTTTCATGCATTTTTCATGATGAAAAAAGGCTCTGGACAGCATCTGGAAATAAAAAGCGTTAAAAACATTTTCCAAAAGCAAATGCTTATAAACGCGCTTAGCCGCGTTTACACGCATTTACAAGGGTTTGGTGTTTGAAACTCTGATAAAATCTACTCCTGAACGCAAGTTTGGTGCGTTCAAAAAAACGACTGTAAACTCAACTGCCTGTAAACGACTGTAAATGAAGATGTGTACATGGACACATAGGAAAGCATTAGGGAGAGTTCAGGGGCTGCTGAAAAAAATGCAGAAAAGCTCCTAAACGTGAGTTTATCAGCTGCAGTGTACATGGAGCCTTAGCCCAATCTCCTGCAGCTGTTTTAGAGCAAGCCTGGGGTCTGCATTGCCTACGGAGATTGTGAAGCCTCTATAATAGGTAACTTTTCGCTGTATTACTATTGTATACAGAACATAGTTTTGCTAGAAAGTAGCTAGGATTTTGCTTGTTATATGTATATCTGTCAGTCTTGTATTGTTTCCTGAAATTGTAGGTTGTATGTATTTTCATTCATTTATTTATTTATTTCAGGTACTTATATAGCGCCATCAATTTATGCAGCACTTTACATATACATTGTACATTCACATCAGTCCCTAACCCTCAAGGGGTGTACAATCTAAGGTCCCTAACTCACATTTATACATACACATAGTATGGACAATTTAGACAGGATCCAATTAACCTACCTGCATGTCTTTGGAGTGTGGGAGGAAACCGGAATACCCGGAGGAAACCCACGCAGGCACAGGGAGAACATGCAAACTCCAGGCAGGTGGTGCTGTGGTTGGGATGTGGTCATTTAGTAAAAGCACATTAACCACTTGCCTACCGAGCACTTTTAGCTCCTTCCTGCCCAGGCCAATTTTCAGCTTTCAGCACTGTTGTACTTTGAATGACAATTGCGCGGTCATGCAACCCTGTACTCATATGACATTTTCATCATTTTTTTCACACAAATAGAGCTTTCGTTTGGTGGTATTTAATAACCACTGGGGGGGGGGGGGAGGGGGGGCACTGTAAATGAAGAAAGAGCAACAAATTAAAAAAAAAAAAATTTCTTTGTTTCTATTATAAGATTTTACAAACAAGTACATTTTCTCCTCAACTGATGTGCGTTGATGAGGGGGTACTGGCGGGAATCGATGAGGAGGCTCTGATGATGCTGCACTGATGGGCACTGACTGGCTGCACTGATGAGCGGCACATCTGGGTACTTTTGGGGCTGCACTGATTATCAGTGCAGATGTCCTTTGACACTTGCCGGTTATCGGCAGTACTTTCCTCATGCTGTGATGAAAGTGCTGCCGATAACCGACAACTGTATTTACTTTGTGATCTGCTTTGTCATTAGACACGGCTGCAAGTGTGCAATCCAAACACAAACGTTCCTGCGTTAAAAATGGCTGTGTATATAAGTGGTTGCTGCAGCGTCCATCGGCTGGAACTGAACAGAATCAGCGAGGGAGAATGTCACCAGCACACCGAGGATCACCAATATGGGTCCAAAAGTTTTAATGGTTCATTAAAACTTTTGGACCCATATTGGTGATCCTCAGTGTGCTAGTGACATTCTCCCTTATTGGACACATCTGATCATGTGGTAAAAGGCCGCTGTGATTGTCCTTTTACCTTGTCATGTGATCAGCTGTGTCTGTAGGACATAGCAATCACAGACAGCGCAGGATGTGCTCCACTGCGGATGGGTTCTGGGAGGATGTCCTATGACGTGCTCCCAGAACTGGACAACTGCACTGTAGCCGCCATTCGGCTATAGCGTGGTTGTAAAGTGGTTAATACACTACAGAGGTCTACGTTTCCTTGCTTATAACATAAAGTAACATTAACTACACACCAAAGCAAAACGTATTGTCAGGAATGGACTCGCCAATGGTGGTGGGACTCACCTGCCTTGTGGGCTGCAGTACCAAGGCTGGCCAGCGGGTGCTCTCAGCAGCCAGAATCTCACTCCCGAGATCAGGCCATCACCTGAGGCTGATTGCAGGAGGTGTATTTAAGCAGGACCAGGCCTGTGATCAGTGCCTTGGTGTTGTTTCCCATGAGCCCCTGTACCTTGTATCCTGTGTTCCTGTTCCTCTGCCTATCTGATTTGTTGCCGACCCTGCCTGATCCTGACCTCTGCTGACTTCTCCTGCTCTGACTCCTGGCTCGTCCCTGACTATTCTTCTGCCTACTCCTATGCTGTTTGACCTCCTGTTGCTGTACCTTGGCTCGTGACACGTTTACTCTTTGCCTGCTGCTTTGTACTGATCTGCCTCCACCGTTATCGACCCGGCTTGTCTGACTACGCTACACTCCATACTGTCATCCATCCATCCCGCACGGATCCAGTCACTACTGTCCGAACCTGCCAGCCCCTTTACATCAGGTTTTCCCCCCGGTACATACCCTCAGCGGACCCCTCTACCACAGTTGGGTGCACTCAGGGGCCGCGACCTGTTCTCAGTCCTGGGCCAAGTCCATCCCCACCATCAGGGGCTCTGGTGAAAAGGCAGACTGGGGCTTAGACTCCGCGCCCTGGGGAATCCTGTTCTGTGGGTCACTAGAGATCCTGCCGGGCGGTGCCTGACAGTGCCTTACGGCCTGCCTGACCATTCTATCTCTCCAGCCTGACTACGCCTGTGTTCCAGAAGCCTGCTGTTTCCCTTTGTCAGTCCACACATCTCTGGTCATACCTGGATCCCTGACATGTATACTTTACTATATTTATTGCAATATGATTTCATTTCATGCATTTTCTATAATAATGAAAATTGTTAATGCAAAAAGAATCTGCTGATTATCCAGGAGTCAAAGACTACCGCACCTCTCATATCCGAATATATTGAATGAAACCGAATTGATACCAATTAATTCATTATGTTATTAAGTTGAATACATTTCCCCATTGCCACCTGACTTTGTTGGGTTGTGTGCATACAAGTAAAACAAATGCTCTTTAAAGTTCAACCCCAATACAAAAAGTATCTTATTGGAATATTCACGTTACGCTCACTAGAATTAAAACGAAATGGATCCAAATCAATTCGGATCATTCCTTATGTTGTTTATTTCGGATGCTTCAAACATTAACAAAAGTCCCAAACTATCACATCATCTGAATGAACCAAATTATTTTTTCTTTTCATTATATTTTAGACTTGTTGAAATTTTATTATTGTGATTTGGATACATCCAAATAATGAAAATTTAGTCCAAATTTTGATTCATAGCAAAAAAATTTCACTTCAAGTTGTGTTCCTCAAACCATTCTTGCAGTGTGGCAGGGCATTTTATCCTGCTGAAAGTGGCCACAGCAATCAGGAAATACAGTTTCCATGAAGGGGTGTACTTGGTCAGCAACAACGTTTAGATAGGTGGAACGTGTCAAGTAACATCCACAAAAATAGCAGGACCCAAGGATTCTCAGCTGAACATTGCAAGCATCACACTGCCTCTGCTGGCTTGCCTTCTTCCCATACTGCGTCCTAATGCCATCTCTTCCTCAGGTAATCTTGGCCATCCACATGATGTAAATGAAAACGTGATTCATCAGACCAAGCTACCTTCTTCCATTGCTCCATGGTCCAGTTCTGATGCTCACGTAGCCTTTGTAGGTGCTTTTGGCTGTGGACACTTATGAGCATGGGTAACCTGATCTATGGATACACAGCCCCATACACAACAAACTGCATGTTCTCCCACCTCTCTATCAAAACCAGCATGAACGTTTTCAGCA